GTTTTCATCATGTAACATAAGGTAAGTAATTTTTCACTTGTTGTGAGATAAATGTAAGGTTTATATATGGATTTAAGGAAGAAAGATTTAGGAAACTTTTGGGATTTTGGTAGAAAATCTAAACTTTGGTATTTTTGGATTTTGACCGCGAAATTAGACATGGAATTAGGAATAAAATATATATTTGAGTTCATAAGGTTATGGGTAATGTTTTTCTTCGAAAAGTTTCGGTATCCGGGCATGTGGCCCCGAGGGTTGATTTTATAGATTTTTCGAGTGGAGTTGAAAATTGTTTAAAATAATTAATTATGGGTATTAGAATATATTTTTATGGGTTTGCACATTTGTTGAATAGTTTTGGATCGACGGCCATCGGTTTGAGTTAGTGGCGTGGCGTTGGAGACGGTTTTAGAACTTCAGAGCGAGGTATGTCTCCTGTCTAACTCTGTGAGGGGAAAACTACCCCTAGGTGATTTTATTGTTAAGTGCAACTAGTTGTGGGTGCTACGTACGCATGAGGTGACGAGAGTCCGTACGTAGCTATAACATGTTTATGTCCGAGTAGAACTACGATTTTATCGTGTAATGTTTGAATTATTTGAGCTCATGATGCTGACATTAATTAATCGAAGTTATAAATGAAATTGATTTAGAAATAATTATATATATACTAGGCCAAGCCTTAACACTTTGAGTTGTGGGCAAGTTATTTGAGAAAAAGGTAAAGATCATATCCATTTTTTTACCCACGTACGGTGTTGTAAACACGTGTCTCTTAATTCGGTAACTTTCTTCCTTTTCTTGTGGAGCGGTCCGAATGCCTCGGCAGTATATAGGTGCATCTATGGTTCGTGTCGCTCGACCCTCGGCAGTGTACATATTATTTCGGATCGGGCCGAACGTCCCTTAGCAGAATCGTGCGTTATATCTCTTGTAGCCCAAATATTCACGAGTTAACCTCTCTACTGATGCCCGACATTTATATGATACACCGGGTTTATTTGATGATGACACTTGATAACTTTTGGAGATATTAAGATAGAATACAAGATTGAGAAACTCATACTTTAAAGAAAATAATTGGAAACTTTTGATATTTACAGATTTACTCCACTATTGTTGTGCACTTCATACCTATTATGAATTATTATACTATGTGCTTGGACCTCTAGTAAGTGTCGATGTCAACCCCTCGTCACTACTTCTCCTGGGTTAGTCTAGATACTTACTGGGTACGCGTTGATTTAGGTACTCATGATGCACTTCTGCACTAAATGTTCAGGATCTGACAGGTTAATTGATGATCACCTTGGCGCGTAGACGCACCTGTTGAGGAGACTCCATGTGAGCTGCATTCCTGGCTACGCATCACAGTCCATCGAGTCTCCATTGTACTATTTATTTTATTCTGTCTTATTACATCCGGGACAGATGTTGTACTACTATTGCACTCCTTAGAAAATGCTCATGCACTTGTGACATCGAGTTTTGGGGGTTCCTATGGGTTGTTCGTTATTGTAATTGTGTAAACTCTATTTCATACGATTTAATTAAGGAAAATTATGATTTTAACCACTTAAATGAGTAAATAAATTGATAAATCACTGTTGGCTTGCCTGACGGCGGTGTTAGGCACCACCATGACCCTTAGTAGATTTTGGGTCATGGCACTATATGGTGAATTTACAAAGTTTAAACTTATTACATTAAATAATCTATACATACTGCATAGAGAGGCGAATTCAAAATTTTAACTTTATGAGTTCTGAATTATAGAACGATGATTTCAAATATTAATAACTGGCTCTAAATTTCATATTTGTACATATTTGTTGAACTTAACAAAAATATAAATTAAGCCAAATACATATTAAGGCTTCTAGCTCCGTCCCGACGAACAGGAGTTGTGGATATTGTTGACCGAACGGTCAACTATGTAATTTCTCTAAAAGAAAATAGGGAATCTTACAGAAATGTTTCAAATAAGTCCTAAATTACCAACATCTAGCCATTAATCATAGACTTACCAAAACTAGCCAAGCACATATAAAAACTGAAAACCCAAACAAAATAATGTTCTTTCTCTCCAAGAATCACACAAAAAGATCCCCTACCATATTTTTAAGCGTGTTCAGCAATACTAGATGCAAGACGGAAAGGAAATTTATGGATGAGCTAGAAAACAAGGTGATGAAATACATACATGCATACATACATACTAGATGCAAGACGGAAAGGAAATTCANTACACACACACACACACACACACACAAGATTCCAAAAATCTAAGCAAAAAAGTACTATTTTCAATGGTTGAAATTTATTGAAAACAAATAGATGAGTCAAATACAAAAATTGAGGAAGATTGGAGGTGATTTGGACTGACGTAGTATCAAAATTCATAGTTAAAATCGAGTTCGAAAATTTTTTTTGCGACACATGTATCACACACACATGTATACATAGATATACATGTGATATGATACATATATGATACACAATGTGATACACATATTATTTTTTATGTTCATCTTCTACTTTGAATTTTCAATTCAAACCACCTCAAAACTCAACCAAATCATCAAAACTGAGATTCAAACTCCTTAACATGTACCAAATCTATTCTAATAACACCCACTCAAAAGAATAAAAAAAATTGATATTTTTTTTACAAATAGTTAATTGGATAATATTAATACATTTGACTAATTTTAGTATTGTTTTATGAATTGACCAATTTTTATAATAAGCTACTTATAAATGGACATAGCTGGTAGTTTCCCAAACAAATATAGAGATTTTTACCTTCCTATACACTATTTGAAATCTTATTACCCTCCCTACTCAAGTTTCAATTTAATTACATGGTCATATATAATTTACAAATTATATACAACAACAGCAACAACAACAACAACCGAGTATAATTCCACTAATGGGGTCTGGGGAGGGCAATGTGTACGCAAACCTTACCCCTACCCTAGGGTAGAGAGGCTGTTTCTTATAGACCCTCGGCTCCCTCCCTCCAAGAACTCTCCACCTTGCTCTTGGGATGACTCGAACTCACAACCTCTTGGTTGGAAGTGGAGGGTGCTTACCACTAGAGAGAACTCACTCTTGTCGAACCAATTAGATACAAATAACTTTTAAATTAGTATTTGTTTATATTAAGAATTGAATAAGGAATATCCGTTATTTTCTTATCCCATTATACTTCTCTCTCTCCATCTCTCTGTCTCTGTCTCTATCTATATCTCTCTCTTCGTCTCTCTACTCTCCTTCTCTGTTTTCCCAATTTTTCTTTATTTGATATTCTCTGTTTTTAATGCTTTCTTGTTGTATAGAGTTTTAGCGGAATTCATTAATGGATTTCAATCGTTTTAACTTAGCAATTTCCTTTCATGTTGCACAATTGGTGTTCAAATTGAAATTGTCAATCAATAAATTTTGAAGGTGTTTGACTCTCCACCATTGACAGCCATTAAAAAGCTTTGAAACTTTGAAATCGAATTTGGATTTTCAAAAATAATTACTTGTTTGGAATGGGTGTTGTTGCAAATAATTAAAAATATTGTTTGGAGTTTATATCTCAATTTTGAGGGTGTTTTAGTGAAGATTAGACTTGATTTTAGCTGAATTTCAGATTGAAACTCGAGAAAGAAGAAGAAGAACACATGACTTACAATATACTTACAAAATTATAGTAAAGTTGTATTATAATTGTATGTAAATTGTATTTTGTTGTAGTTATTTTTTTTATTTAAATGTTGCATGAAAGTTGAAAAATAGTTGTGTAATGTATGAATTGTTGTATAAAATTTGTATTTAAGTTATCAATACTATCTTTTTACATAAAGTTGTTGATATGTATCAAAATTGTATTAAGAGAGTAAGTTTTGATCGAAATTTTAGAGGGGAAGAAGCACACACCACATACAAAATATATACAAATCAGATACAAAACGTATACAAACACATATTGTATAAAATTTATATAAAAATTATATTTAAGTTGTATGATATTGTAGTTGTATTTAACTAGGTAGAAATAATGTATTAAAGTTGTAGATAAGTTGTATAATATATAATTAGTTGTATGAAATTTATTTTTACTATATATGTTGTTGTAGATATTCAAATATGTATTAAATTTGTACGAAATTTATTTTTAAATTGTATATTGATGTACCATATATTATTTTTTTCTCAGTTGATTTTATCTTCTCTGAAGTCCGAGGAGATACTAAATTTTGTTCAGCTGCAACATTCGATACAGGTTTTTCGTCGCTTGCTTTTGGAAACATTACCTTCTTACTATGCTTACTATGCCTCGTTTACACTATGTTCAGGCGTGACAATGCCTCCCTATTATTTCTGGTAAAAGTATTGACTAAATTGATGGTTCATCTTATTCCCATATAGAAAGGGGTAACAGAAATTTTTGGAAAAACATTGTCTTCCAACTTCAACTGAACCGTTGCCTAATGTATAGTACTTTCATGGCAATAACAGGCGACCGTTGGGAGCTGGGACCAAATGACGAATCTTCTCATCCAACTAGATTGTTTCCATAATTAAATATAAGTTCGATCTGGAGAGAAGAGGGGAGAGAGGAGAGAAAAAAGGAAAATTGTGTAACTAAATCTCTTGATTGAAAGCACTAATAATAGATTGAGAACCTTTTAAGGTGAAATGTATATAATTTATAAGTAATTCTTATTTAGGATGTGTAATATACAAAATTAGAATAATTTTGATAAATAAGTTTCAAATATTGTATAAGAACAAAAAAAATCCCAAAAATATAAGGTGAGTAAAATTATTTTTGATCGACCAACAATTGTGTTAAAAGCCCAATATATTTCCTGAATAGATGGGCTGGAGTTTGGGACCAAGACCAGTAAGGCCCATTAGAATTGTCGACCCTTCAATCCAGATATTTCCGGCTAATGGGCTTAGATGGAGCTATATAAACATAGCCGTCTTTCTAACTTTGAACAGGATTTTGATTCCCTATCAATTCTCAAATATGAAACCCCTCCTCCTGCCTTAGGTTCTACGAGCAGTCAAGCGCCATTAGCGTAACACAACGAATCAGGTTTGTGTTTTTACATTCTGCTAATTTTATTTTTGTGAAATCATGTTTCAAATGTTTAGTAAAATCATGTTTCCAGCTTCAAATTTCGTCCGCAATACATTGATTTTGGTGCTTGTAATGTAAGATTTATAGGTATTTTATTACATTTATTTTTATTGCATTAATTAATTGTTCCTCCTTTTTGTTCGAGAAATGGAACTCTCTTTTTTCTTCTTCATTTTTCTGCTTTCATGATATGAACTACTATATGGTTAATAATTTGTAGGAACATAATTCTTTGTGACCTAAAGGCTTGAACTGAATTTAATTGGTATCAAAATCAGATATTGATTTTTTTTTTCTTTTTGCGGTGTTCATTTTAAGCTTGAAAATGTCTATGCATTTTTATTTTTAGAGGTTGATTTGGGCTTGAGTCCATGTGACGTCAGCAAGATTATAATCGTAACAGTAACAAGAAGGTAAAGTGACAATAATACCATAATATATGAGTCAAAATTTGCCTTTAGGATATTCGGATCAAAATAACAGTGCGAGAAGGACCCGCAAATCATCACTTAAAGACGGTCGTGAAGTCATATTGGCCAAGGTCAAGGTCGAGAAGTCGAGAGTCACGGTCAAGTAATCAACGAGGATCATGGTCGAAGAGTCGAGGAGGGCCGTGATCGAACACTAACGATAGAGCTGTAACGACTAGTTTTCAAATTGGAATCAGGAAGGGAATATTTTAGTGAATATTCCTTACATTTGTGCTATTAGGGTTTATCGGGAAAAGATCCCATATAAATAAAAGGAAGAGAGAGAGAGAGAGAGAGAGGAAAGACACGTGAAATTCATTCTTGTAAGAACAACACTTTGACAAAAGATTTATTCTTCACTCAATACAAGACTTTACTTTTTATTAAGATTCTTGCCAGATCCGAGGGATCTTAATTGTTTGAGGATCTGTCATCCAATCATTGTTAGGGGAAGGTTCCTTTGTTCCACCTTTTGTTGCTTAGATTATTCCTCTTAATTACGTGATTGCCATCAGATTGACATTTATTGAATATCTTACGTATTGTTATTGTCAGTTATAAGACATCTATTGCAAGGAATCATCATATTTTTCATAAATATTTTTCAACTACCTATTCGATATCAAGATTTGAGGAAATTATTCTTAACTAAGATTAACCCATGTTTATTTAGAATTAATTATTTGAACCAATATTTACGTTTTTGGGTTAAACAATTTGGCGCTGTCTGTGGGGATTTCCTACTTAAATATTTAGTTTCTTCTAGATCTATAACCAACACAGATCACTAACATCACAAAGCCCAAGATCTTTTCTCTTTCCTTGTGCAAAATCTGACATGCCAGGTAACTGAGAAGAAAGGCTGAGAATAACAAATGACATACCGACCAACCTTATAATTGTCCTCAATGAGAGCTGCGAAACGACCAGTGAGGATACGACACCCAATGCCTCCCCTAGACGAGATGGGTCACCTCTTCCTCACTACAACATCACAAAATCTCTTGGTAAGGGAGCCTCCACATCTGTGGCGGAGGAGATGCCCCCAGCTGTAAAAACGCTCCTTGAGGCATGGTTAACTGACACGATAACCAGCATCCTCCATAAGCTCGCTAGGGATACGGCTATAGGAAATGCAAGAACTTGCGTTATACAACCAGCAGACGAGTAGCACAACCAACTCCCTCCCCCTCCAACGACAAGTATTTCTCACAATGTCGTTAATAATGCAGGCGACGACACTCTCACAACCATCCTAAAAAGGATGGAGGAAATGGAGAATGAGAACAGATCACTCCGAGATCAAATGAGAGAGCACCAAGAAAGGGTCGATAAGATACCGGATGCTCCTAAGCTTTTGCCGACGAGAGATGCCGGCCGATTCGTCGAGCAACCCTATAGTGATGACGCCGCCACACATGCCATACCAAAAACTTTTAAAATGCTGCCCTACCTCAAGATATATGATGGCACGACTGACCCTGAAGATCATGTGACTCACTACGTCACCGCCGTGAAAGGCAATGACCTCGCCAAAGAACAAGTATCTTTCATTTTGTTGAAAAACATCGGTGAAACCCTCATATGAGGAGCGTTAACATGGTATTCTCCACTACCTGCGTGATCCATTGAAACTTTCGAAGAGATGACCGACAAATTCGTAATGGCCCATGCTGGGGCCAGGAAGGCAGAGACGAGAGTGAACGACATATTTGCTATTAAACAGTCTCCAGGGGAGGGATTGAGGGACTTCCTTGCTCGGTTTAACCGAGTGAGGATGACCCTATCGAGCGTGTCAGAAGAGATGGTGGTCGCAGCCTTTCAAAATGGGTTGAGTAGGGATGGTTCGAGGGCGACTAGAAAGCTACTGAGTCGACTGATGAAGTACCCCCCAACCACTTGGGATGAAATACACAACGCGTATTGTGTCGAGGTCTGAATAGATGAAGACGACCTTAACGGACCAACTCATCGACTGACCTCGGTACAGGCCGAACCTAGAAAGGATCGAAGAAATGATACTAGAAGAGACCTCACAGCTCCGTGGCCTAACAGGGAACGACATCAACCGTAGGTCAGAGCGTCCATCGCGCCCTCCTCCCGCCACGAAGAAGGCTCGCCTAGATCAAGGACAGGGACTCACTGGAATGAAAGAGGTATGCACCCTTTATTATCCGCTAACAACTTTTGTGCGTCACCTACAGAGATAGTCTATGCCCTGGAGAAGCTCGGACCAAAGGTGAAATGGCCACAAAATATGAGGTCAGATCCGAGCACCAAAAAGTCAGACGCCCTCTACGAGTTCCACCAAGAACGAGAGCATAAAACAGAACATTGCATCGCCCTAAGGCAGGAGGTCGTGAACATGTTACGACAAGGACACCTCAAAGAGTTGCTGAGCGACCGGGGAAGGACCAACTTTTCTAGAGGACATGAACAACATCAATGACCGCCGAAAACACCCTCACCAACTGGCACCATTCACACTATCATCGGTGGTGGCGACGATCCTTCCATCAACATCGTGAAGTTCACCACTACCTACAAGCTCAAACGGTCGATCACCCGCGAATGGTATGACGAACTCGAAGAGAGTATCATCTTCGATAAGTCAGATACCAACGGTTTGGATTTCCTTTACTATAATGCCCTTGTTATTATTTTACGAATTTTAGATACCGATGTGAGACGCATTATGGTAGACGATGGGAGCGGCGCGTGCATTATCCATCCTCGAGTACTTGCACAAATGAAACTCGAAGTTAAGATAATGTCGCATTGCATCACGCTAACTGGTTTTAACAATGCAGTCGAGCGAACATCTGGTGAAATCACACTCCCCGTTCTGGCCAGTGGCGTCACTCTAGAAACCACGTTCCACATCATGGACCAATACACAACGTACAACGCCATAATAGGGCGACTATGGATACACACAATGAGGGTCGTCCCTTCCAGCTTATACCGGGTCAGCAAGTTCCCGACTCCATAAGGAATATTCAGCATACGAGGGGAACAACGCACATCCCGGGAATGCTATCGCATCGTCCAAGACAGTACGGTCACTCAACAAATGAAGGACACAGAAAAAGAGGCATAACAATCAAGAGGGTCGAGGTTGATATGTGATGATAGCGAGGACGTCATCAGAGACCCCGATATGGTCGAAGCTGCAGGATCGACCATAGAAGACCTCGACCCTGTTCAATTTGACCTCAACGACCACAGCAAGAAAGCTTACATCGGCTGCAAACTTCAGGAACCAGGTAAATTCCGTCAATTCTTAAATACTAATGCAAATTTGTTTGCTTTTAGCCATACAGATATGCTGGGTATCCCAAAAATATCTCCACGCACAAACTGAACATCGACCCATTCCACCCCTAGTGAGACATGTCAGGCGTAAGTTTAACTCCACAATCAATGATGCAGTATGTGAAGAGGTAGAAAAACTATTGAAAAATGGCTCCATCAGGGAGTTAAAGTATCCCCAGTGGGTCGCCAACGTGGTCATGGTTAAGAAGAAGAATGGGAAATGGCGGATGTGCGTGGATTTCACAGATTTAAACAAATCATGCCCAAAGGATTCATTCCCATTACCCCATATCGACCAACTCATCGATGCAACAGCCGGACACGAACTACTGAGGTTCTTGGACGCTTATTCAGGTTATAATAAATTCCTCATAGAAGAAGAGGATCAGGAAAAAATCACCTTCATCACCCATTAAGGGACGTACTGCTACAGGGTCATGCCCTTCGGATTAAAGAACGCGGGGGTGACCTACCAAAGGTTGGTGAGGAGGATGTTCCAAGGACCAACTTGGTAAAACGATGGAAGTCTATATAGACGACATGCTGGTCAAGTCCAAAAGGAAAGAAGATCATATCGAGCATCTGAGAGAAACGTTCGACAAACTCAAGCGATACAGAATGAAGTTGAACCCCGAAAAATGTGCGTTTGGTGTGGCCTCAGGAAAGTTTCTAGGTTTCCTAGTATCATAGAGAGGGATCGAGGTCAATCCCGACCAAATGAAATCCATCGAGGGGATACCAGAACTTTTGACCACTAAAAAGCAAGTTCAAAGGTTGACTGGCCGGTTAGCCGCCCTATCAAGGTTTATTTCACGATCATAGGATCGATGTCACAAATTCTTTGCCATACTCAAGAAGGATAATAGCCTCCAATGGTCTACGGAGTGCATCCAAGACTTGAAGGATTTAAAAGCATACTTGTCGTTGCCACCACAGCTTTCTGTCATGACCCAAAATCTCACATGTCGTGATGACGCCTATCTCAATACTAGGCAAGCCGACAATCTCAATAAACTACCATATCTTTTAAATTTGAAAATATAATATTTAAATTCCGCGAAAGAAATCTCACAAATATAGATATAAACACTCCCAAAACTCGGTGTCACTGAGTACATGAGCATCTAAATGAATACAAAGTCTAATTGATACAATCACTGTCTGAAAATA